TTCGGTGACTGGGAAAGAACTGCTAATACCGAGCCAAAGAAGGAGGGATGTAAATTGCGGAACATTCCACTCCCTGGTACACCCCCCGCCCAATACCGAGGGACGGCGTGCGGTTCTCCCCGAAAACGTTCCCTCCGCTTCCCTCTGCCCTTGGGTCTCCAGCTTCTTTACTGTGGACTGAGGAACATAAGGCACAACCCGATCGATGCGAATGTGTTTTTTTTTTTTTTTCCCCTGAACGCACGACCTCTCCAAATCCTAGCTCCCAAAGCGCGGGTGGGGGGTGGAGGGAAAGGCACGTTAATTTGGGGGCCAGCAGCACCCCTCGGAAGGCGCGCGCGCGGCCTGGCGGGCGCCTCGCGGGTTTCAGCGCGGCCGCGCGGAGTGGCTGGATTATGTAAGTAACAGCCCTCCATGTGCTCACCACCATCTGTTAATATCTTGATATTGGAAAGTTCGGTGCCTGAGGCAAAGCCAGGGCTGGCGCGGAGCTCCCAGCCTACTCCTTTCTACTGCAGGGCAGGGAATGCACTTCCCTTCGATTGTTTTCGCCCACTTCCCTAAAATCGAGTAGTAGTGTGCCCCTTCAATCACTGTCGACCAAGCCTGCTCCCCGCGGGTGCGTGTTTGTGCACGAAGGAGGATTCTCTTTGAGGTCACTTGACTGCAATAAATCCTTTCGATAAATTTATATTTTTATGACCATTCTAGTTTCCCTTAGGCACTGGGGTGGGCTCTTATTTGTGATGGAAGCTTTATTATTTAAAAAAAAAATTTTTTTTTTTTTTTTTACTTTTTCCGCCAGCACTCCGGCCCCAAATTCTTGTAAGGGTTATATTTCAACTTCTTTGGAGCGCTTCGCCTCTGTTTACTTTGAAAGCCGTTGGTTAAACAAACATCACTCGGGAGGCTTCTAAGCAGTGGGGTTCCCAGGAGAGAAACGCTGCAGCTGCTACTTGCTACTGATCTTGTGGCATTTCACTTTTTTCCCTATTCAGAGCAGATCCAGGTTGAGCTTGGCGTCACACTGGGCACTGGGGCTAGGGGGTGGGGAAGGAGAGAATGGCGGTCAGTCTGCTTCTCCACTGCCAGAAGCAGGCCGGCCTGCGCCCTGGAGTTGGTTTTTCTTTCCTTCTCTTCCCCTTTTCAGGATGGTGCTGGTGGTGGTGGATAGTGGATGGTTTTGTGTGTGTGTCCGTCCGAGCAGGGGTCTTCAGCATCTTTGTCCCAAATTCCACGCCCACGTCTGCCTCTCTACTGGATCTGGCTTAAGTTCCCAGAATTGATTTGTTTGGGATCTGACGATGGTTCATTGTAAGGTTTTAAATTACTTATATGCCATCTTCCTTCCTAGCTTAGTCTAAGGGCTTTAAGAACGGGGAAGGTGGGGGGTGGGGCGAAATACAGCGAGGGAAGGTCGAGGCAGAGTGTGTTTAACCCAGGACCAGATGCATAAGTGATGACTGCAGGAGTTTGACTAAGAACTCACAGCAGATCCCCCTTTCCCATAAATAAGTAAATGCAGTCTGCACGGATGAGGTTTGTTGGAAGATTGGTCAGAACTTGTGTTAACTTTTAAATTACTGGGGTTGTGTTCCCAATGGGCGGAGGAAGAGGTGACCCTAGACTTGGCCGCTGGCTTCTGAGATGGAGCCAGTATCTAGGCGACTTCTCGTCTCCGACCCGACTGATCACTTCTCTCCTATCAGAAAACAAACCGGGAGCCCCCGAGATAGGGGGCTCGGGCCTCACGCCTTGCTCTAGAGCGGCCCCAAGACCTGGGAGAGCGCCGCAGCTTGCGCAAGAGAGGTTACCAGGAGCCCGGCCTGTACGTCGCCCCGACAGCAGGGGACAGGACAGGGCTCCGCGTACGTAGCTTACGGAGCTGGGCTTCGGACCGAGCTCGCTTGCCCAGCGTCGTGCGCGCTCCTATTTCAACCAGCGGTTCTTGCGCCCTAATGCGGGCTGCGAACTGCCGCGTCGGAGCGTGGCGAGCTGCGAGCCTCCGCTGCGTTGGCTGGGAGTGGGGGGGCTTCCTCGTCTGCCAAACGGCTTTACCCCGACTTGCGCTCAGGCCTGCCTTCCCCCGAGAGGGACGGAAGGCTTACTGGGGTTCGCGAGGAACTTTTCCTGCCGCCAGTTCTCGGGAGTAGAGTGTGCAAAATGTGCAACCGAGCGCTAGGTGTAACTGACATAACTTGTGGGCTAAAGTTCAAGCCATTTCCTTCCAGATTCTGAATCTTTTCTCTCTCTCGGCTTCCTTTCTTCCGCCTTCTCCCCCTCCTCCTTCCCTGCTCTCTCTTTCTTTTTTTTTTTTTTTAAATGTCAAACCGAGCAGATGGTTTTAAGGTGTGGAGGGCATATATCCTTTACTCCTACCAGTTTATCCGTGGGCTGGCGCTAACATACGTACAAACTGGGATACTTAAAGAAAATAATAGGACGGAAAGGGAGAAAGGAAGTAGCCTTGATTCATTCACAGAACCCAAATTTCCCTGCTCAATACACCCGCTTACCTCGAAAGGACTCAACCAATAGAAGCATTATTCCATCCTGCATCTAATGGGCATGTTGATAGATTATTTCTGTTCCCAGCCTAAATTGCCGCATCTCGATTAAAACACTTGATACAATAGCCGATCTTTGGGAGTGCGAGTGGTGTGTTGGTGCGCATCTGTGTTGTTTCCGTAATGGTGTGGAGGGAGGGTCTGGGGGCAGCGGACCGGGAGAAGTGAGGCTGGGGGTTCTCAAGCAAGTCTCTTTTCTTAGCCCCGACACCTTCCCTGGCCGCCTTGATTTTTTTCCCCCTTCTTTTCAATGTTTGAATCCTGTGCCAAAAGTTTGTTCCTACAGAGTATAGTCTCAGGCATGTTATCATCTCTACTCTTATTCAAAGAGAAGACTTCTTCACAGTTTGATGAATTTGAGATTGAAATTGTAAATGTCCTAGGAAAGGGGTATATGTGTGTTGCAGAAGTGGTGGTAGTTGTCGGCCAGTGTACTTGTAACACACCTCATAAACACTGTTGTGCCAACCAACGTCTGCTTGACGTTGTCCCAAACCTTTTATCTGCTTGAATTCGAGGAACATACAAAAAAATACTTGTTCCCATCCTACCTAAAAACTGAGTGTCTAATCGACTAGGTAGGAGTATTTCTGCTTCGCAGCCCTTGTAAGTCCCGGCTTTTATAGGATCTTTAGGTCATAATCGCGGTTGCTTTATTAAAAGCGGTTTGCTGTGCCGGGTGAAAGACACGTTCTGGCTGCGGCTGGAAATGCCCTTTAGCATTTGTAAGTTGCAAACCTCCAAGGAGCTCTTTAAGAGCCCCGTTATCTAAAGAAATCTCTCTGGTTATTTTTCATCCCAGAAATGTCTAGCCAAAGTGAATTTTCCATAGCTTTACGTTGAAGCCCGAAATTTAAGCGTTTCAAATTTCTTACCTAATAAACTTTAAAGTTTGCTACCCGGGAGCCAAAATTGTGTACTCCGATGTGAAACCTCTCTCTTTGGTCATCGTGGGGTGAGTGAGTTAGTGAGGGATATATGTTTGCAACATACTCCCCCCCCTAAAAAAAAAGGCGGCTGTACCTACAATCCAAATAACCAAGGGCGAATAGTCTTCTTCCTAATAATTTTGACGGGAGATTAACTGGACCTCAGCCAATACTGGTCGGCTACCAGATGCAGCGGAGCCCAAGTGAAACCTCTGGCACGTATTATTTAAATCCCAAACCTACCTGTATTTTATTGTCCACCTCGCCTCTAAAACCAAGCAAGGGTGACACGTATTCTTGATACTATCTATGATCCTTTTAAAAGTGGACCGATTTGAGCTTCCCCACTCCCTCCTCCTGTACCACTCCACCCCTAAAACCCCACTTTTCTTCCAGTACACTTTTCCGTGCCTTTCTCCACCCAAGTCCGCTCCAAGCTCGGCCACTCGGTGAACTCGATCAGCTGTATCTGGGGAAGGAAGGGGGGGGGGCGGTGGGGATAGGAAGGAAAAAAAAAAAAAAAAAAAAAAAGGACCTGCGTCCTGGACGAGCGAGTGTGAGCCGAGCGCCGCTCGCGCCGTCGCCCGCTTTGCAAAGTGCCCGCAGATGGCTCGCTCTGGCCCCGGCGCGGCGATCCTGTCGCCCCGAAGCGGTGGCAGGGCGGGGGCGGGGATGGGGGCCGGGGATGGAGGCGGGGGGAGGGGAGCGCGGGGCCCCTCTCCCCTCCTCTCTTCCCAGCCCCTCACCCCCCACCCCTTTTATTTTTTTTTTTTTTTCCTCCCAAGTTCTCTTGCCTCGCTATCCCCCCTTGAATCCGAAGGCGCCTCGCGATTGGGTGCTGGGACCGGGTACGTCAGTCAGACTGTGACGTGCAGTCTTCCTGTTTCCTTCAGCTGTGTCTTAAAGTAAATCTTGTTGTGGAGCGGAGCCCTCAGCTGAGGGAGCGCTCTGAAATAATACACCATTGCAGCCGGGGAAGCGCAGCGGCGCAAAAGAGCTCTCGCCGGGCCGCCCGCTCCCCCTCCGCTCGGCTCCTCTCCGCGGCTCCCCGCTTCTGCGCGCCTTTCTCTCCTCGTTCCTCTCCGCTCCTCCCCGCTCTCCTCTGCCTCCTCGTCTCCCCTCTCCTCGCCTCTCCCCTCCCACTCTTCCCACCGTCCCCTCTCCCTCGGCCGCTCGCCCCGCTCGCTCGCCCGCTCGCTCGCGCGCACTCACCGGCCCCGGTCCAATTATCACATTCATCACCCGCAAGACACCGCCGCGTGTGTGCGCGCGCGTGTGCTCTCCCCGCCGGCACGACCGCGCTCGGCCCCACTGCCCTCTGCACCGCGTAAGTATCCTCGCCCCCTCGCCAGTCCCCTCCCCTTTTCCAGAATCACTTGTCCTGGCTTGTTCTCGAATGGGAAGAAAAGAAAAGAGACTCCCATTACTCATGCCCGTGTAAACATTTTTTTTTTCCAGGAGAAAATGGTGTTATTTAAATGAATCCTAATAAAATAGGCTCTAAACAGTTTCTAAGCAGGAGCCTGCGTGGAACTCGGCGCTCCGCTCCTCCCAGTTCCTAAGAGTAAGTGATCCGCTTGGCTTTTATTTCTTTCTCTTTCCTGCTGGTGGCTGGGGTGGTGGTGGCGATGGGGGTGGGGGGGGTGGGGGAGAGGCCGATACTGCTGGACTTGTCGCTGAGCTTGTCACCTTTTGTGTACTGTTCCTGGGCTGCGAGGAGGCGTTTGCTTCCTCTCCGTCTTTCTCTCGCCCTCTCTTCTCGGGAGAGAGGACCGCGGAGGGGACCCGGTCGCTTTTTGTTCGCCTGGATCCCAGCTTTCCGCCCAGCCCCATCCCTCGCGTCCCTCCGGGTTAAAACTCCGGGGCCAGTCCCCGCGTCCTTTCTCTTTGTCTTGTTTATTATAGCTGCCTTTCTTCCAGGCTCTTCCAATTTGCTTGTCATTTGCATACCTTTCACTTCTCCTTTTTAACCCCGGCGGAGGGCTGGGGAGGAGGGAGGAGGGGAAAGGGAGGAGGGGGGCGCTCTGTTACTTTGCTCGCCCAACGCTGTCGGAGCCGAAATGTTGAAGCCGGGGCCGGAGCGGTGGAGACATGGTCCCGGGAAGGCAGCGCGGCGTCCCTCTCCCGAGCTCCGAGGAACTGGGGCTAGGTCAAGTTGAGTTGGGTAAGGCGGCGGCGGGAAGCCTCCGGAGGTGGCGTGGCGGTGGAGGGATGCGGCCGGGGCGCCGCGGGGGGCCGAGCGCCGGCGGTGCGGGTGGGGTAGGGGGTGTTCTCGGGCTGCGGACCTGCGAGGCTCAGACGCTCGCGGCCCGCGCCCGCAGCCCGTGCCGTGGGGCTGCTGGGACCCGGTCTTGTCTGCGTGGTACCTGCCGTTGTGCCCCCGGTTCAGAGGACCGGGAAGGCAGGAGAACAGAGGTGAGGGTGATTGTTACTGGGGAGAACGGTGAGGAGGGCGGGAAGAGCTGCTATCTTGGCTGAACAGACCAGGAGGGGGACGGGGAGGGGGGCGCTGGTGTGTGTGTGTGGGGGGGGGGAGACTTCACCCAAAGTCCAGTTTAGCAAGTTGCTGGTTCTTCTGGCGTGCTAGCCACTTACTCCTGCTAAAACTGAACGGCGGTGGAAAGTGTGGTTTGGAGTGTGTGGGGGTGGGGGGGGAGTGGGGGTGGAGGGAATGGCGGGAGGGAGGTAAAGGGGGGAGTCGCTTTCGAGAGAGACTCACACGTCTCCCGCCACTTCTCAGCTTTTTTTTTCGGAAGTTGAGAGTCCTCCAGGCTGGCAGAGACGAGGAGGAGGAGGGGTTGGGCGATAGTCTTAAATAGCCCAAGGAGGCAGGTTGGAGTGCGAAGCTGCTGTTCTTGGCAATCCAGAACCCCACTCCGCCTGGGGGAAGGCTGCGAGCTCACCTGCTTGTTTTCCTTTTTCCAAGAAGGTCTGTGTTGTCTCCTTGAGCTTATAAAAACAGTGCAAGCACAGGGTGGCCTTCTCTCAAAGTCAAGGCTATAAGTGTCTTGTCTTGTTCTCTCTCTCCCTCCCTCCCTCCCTCCCGCTCTCTCCCCCTCCCTCCCCCTCCTTCCCTCCCACCTATAACCTCCCTTTAAAAAAAAAAGATAATTTCCTTTCCTAAACTAGGTAGGCAGAAGTCTATTAGTAGAGTGCTGTGCATGGGCAGGGCCTGACAGGTGTGTTGTGTCAAGAAAGACAGGTGCAGATTTCCTCTGTGTCTGTGTGTGTCTGTTACAGTTCCAGACCACAGTGCGTGCTCCAGGGTTGCAGAAGTTTATGAATTTATGGGTGCCCTGGTTAATAGGATTCTCCTGGCTAATGGGAACTGGGCTGTTGTTATGTTTTGATCCCTGCCATGTGAGTTTTTTGCTCGGGGGTGGGGGATAAGTCAGTGTGTGTTTGTTTATTTTTCTTAAGGATGTTGGCAGGCTGCTGCTGAGGCTGTATCTCAGGCTTCTGTCTGCCAGGCGGCTGAAAGTCCCCCCACTTCAGGCAGCAGGTGGAGGGAGATTGACTTTCCCTCTGCCTCCCTCTATAGTTTATGCCTATCTCCCAGGTCTGTGGTGCGGAAGGGGGGTGGGTGAGAGCCGTCTTTTGTGTGCATGTGCGTTTTGGGCAGCCATGGGTGGTGTGTGTAACTGCCAAGAATACCAAAGTCATTTGAAAGTGTTACTGTTGTTAAAGCTTATCTTTTTAGCGTGCTTTCTCCCTGCCCAGAAAGAATAGGTATGTGCACAAACTCTTTCAAGTCGTATGTTAAATACTCTCATAAAGTAGAATGAGCCTGTCATTGTACCAGACATGTGCCAGATGTCCTCGTTATTGCTTTGATGGAGAAGGAAAATCTCAAGTACGGGAGAGGTAACAGCGCTTTTTCTATTTGATGCAAGATGCAGGCAGTCAGCTGTGTGAGTTTTTGCAAGAACTTCTGAGTATTTTCAGGATGAAATGGGCTGTGTGTGGTGAGGAAGGAAGAGCGGAGCATTCGTATCACCCTGTCCATATGTTACAACGTGGCCGTGTTTATATAAGGGTAAAATCGGCGAGGGTAAGGAGTGTGGCCTGATGTGTGAGGGAAGCCGTTGAGAATTCAGTGGAAGCGCTATACCTGGATTATTCAAACTTGACCTTTTAAGTTTTCTTTAAATAGGCTACTTCTTGTGTTACATAGAAATAGGTTAGATGGTGAATGATTTTGTCGGTCGGTTTTGCTGTTTGGGTGACGATCGTGATTTCATCAAAAGGAGATAGTGTGTGTCATTTATTCCTTAGACTTAAAACATCAGACTCCCTCCCTCAATACTTGTCTTGGGTATTTGCGAAGTTCTTTTCATGTCATCTATGGACATGTCCATTTGCTTTATGTTTGATAGAGGTTATCTGTGCTTGGTACTTACTAATATGTTTATGTGTCCATTATGCAGAATTCTGCTTGGTTTAATCACCACCTTGTGGGAAAAAAAGTCATGCCTACGTCACATGCATCTTTGTTCTCACTTTATTCATTTCCGAGCATGGTTCCTCTAGAAGTAGCACTTGCAATCTTAAAACGTAAGCCAGTTGCCAGGGGTTCTCTTTATCTGTTCAAAATGCAAATAGGCCTTTTTTTTTTTCATGAATTTCTTATAGCATTTCAAGAATTGTCTTGGCTTTTCAACTGTTGATAGAAGGAATTTTTAAGTTTAGGATTAACCAAAGAAATTATAAAATGTGACTGTTTTGCTAGTATAAAGACGGATTGTGCGTGATATATTATTATTATTGGATTCCAATTAAGTACTTGTGTCAACTAGAAAGGACGTATACCTAAGGAATTTCTCCAGTCCTATTGCCTAGTGCACTCCAAAGCTTCAGAGGACATTTAGAGTATTTGAATTTTCTACAGAAAGGGAAAAGTGTTTTTTCTTGAGATCATTTCTTACTCTTTTACTTACTAATGTGACGAGTTATTGGTGCAAATGAATATTTTAGGCGTGTCTCAGAAAATATTCTGTGTTCATTTTGCAGGTGAAAAACGTACAGAATTTTTGATAGGTTGGAGGAATTTTAAGCCAAATGGTTATGATTTGGGAACTCTATTATGATAGGAAATTGTCAAACCTGATAGAAGATTTGACGATACAATCTTAGTTCATTGAAGTATTAACTACTGTCAAGTTAGTTCATCAAACTAAACAGAAAACGCTTTCTTAACCTTACAACAAGCAGCAATGTCCCTGAAGGAAAAGTTGCTAATTAGCAGAAAGGAACTCTTGAATACAGTGAAGAGGGCAGCATAGTGATTTGTAGTGATTTGATGAGGTGAGGGGAGACTACCGACATCAAATCATCTGATCTCCCCCCCATGAATTACCGATCTTCAGGTGGACTTAAAATGTTCTTTGTTAGTGATTGTGCATTTGAAATTTCATAACCAGGTTGACTCAAGTAGATCAGAGGCCCATTCAAAGGTGGTTTTCCATAAGAAGTAAAGGGTAGGCTTGAGCAATTTCTTCAAATAATTTTACCAACAAAGACAGATAATCTAAGTAATCCAAACAGGAAACCACGCCAAATTTAAACTCACTCTGTCTTATAAAAGATTTGTCTGAACTATTTGGATAATTACCATAATGAACACTTCCTTGTCCAGAATCTGGACTCTAGACAGATACCCAAAAGTTGTGATCCCCTCCCCCAAATAACTTCTTTATTAAAGTAGAGCACTTACCCACTTTCTACTCCACACTGCAGTGTGCCTTTGAAATTCTTCACCGAAAATTCTTTTTTTAACATTAAGTCATCAAGTTCCTTAGCATTCTCCATGTGAAGCTATCTGACGGTCTTGAGATAATTCAGATTTTAATGACTTGGAGTAGTTAAAAATCTGACTTGATTATATCTGGAAGTTTGTTCTTATCTTTCTGTGGGAGGAATCTGCTATGTCAAGAGAATCACTATATAGGAATTATTAAAGCAGTTGAGTACTTAGGTACCAAATGCTAGCTATGACAAAATATTTAACAATAAAAATATTCTGTATGGGTTTTCATGTTAATTAAAGAGGAGTTTATGGGAATAGAATTATGTGCATTCAAACAGTAATACATTTGGGCTCAAATTCTATGTCAGGATTTTTTTCTGCATCCTTGCTGAGATTAATGTTCCTCAGGGCTGATCAAAAGGGTTCAGATTGCCTGGTTAAGCTCAAAATGAATGTAAAAATTAAAATACAATAAGAGTCAATAATAATTGTAGTTGAAACACTATGGCTTCTTACATATGTTGAGAGATAAAGGAATTTTTAAAGATCTTAATGAAGAGGATGATATCAGTGATAAAATCAGTCCTTGGCATTCTCTGAATTCTGAATTAGGAGACCCATGGAAGTGTCTTTAATTGTGTTTTCTAATAATTTAATTTATATACTAGTCATTGAACAGTGCGTTTTCTTATGTGGTAAATATATTCATATATGTATTTTGTTTATGAATCAGTTTGCTAATAAAGCATTAAGTCAGACAGTTATAATTACTTAATCTTGCCTCTTGCCTCCAAGGGTTATGGTCCCAGTACACACTACCCCTATACCTTTATTTTGAAGTTTAGATCTTAGCTGTATGAAAAGCTATATTTATTCATGCCTGTTAATATAATGTCTTAGCGGAATATATACTTTTCCCTATTTGTTTTGTCCTGTTTGTTATATCTCAGCTGGACATTTTACAACAAGACCTAAAAGTATTCCCAATCTCTCAGCCCGAAACAGAAGCAAATCATTCTCTAATCTAATAATGCTGACTGGTTGACAAAGGACTGAAAAAATCTGTTTAGTTCCATGAATTTGAAGGAAGTCACAGGATATTTTGCTCTTGGAAGGAAGACCCACCAAGCATGTTTAATTAACACTTGCTGTCCGCTGAAGACCAGGGTGAGGGCATCATTTCTTTCCGCCTTAGGAAGAGCACACCCCTCTTCTTGGCTTGGGCAGGAGGTGGGGATGCAGCTGTTGATACCTAGGCTAGATGAGAGGAAGTGCAGTTGACGCAGAGGTACATGACAGTTGAGAAAGGAAAGATGCCTGCCTGTGAATGACCTTGTGTGCATCTCTTACACCAGCCTGTCATTCCTGAGCCCCTGTTGCAGAGATGCTCATCCCCTAGCAAGGATGGGCAGGAGACAAAACCCAGATTGCGGGTTAAGATGAACAGAGGAGGAAAAAAGACTGCAGAAAGTTTGTTCCACGTTTTGACTAGAGAGCCCTATGCTTTTCAGGTGATCTTAAAGGAGAAAGGATTTGCACACACAAAAAAGAAAAGAGGTAACATTTTTAAATAATGGCAATGACCTGTGTTTTTGGAAAGCTGATACACAAACAAAAAGGTCCTCCTTACAAAGAAAGACCTACCCCCAATGTGCAGGTCTTTCTGGGCTTCGAAATAATGCATCCCTTTTCTTCTTTGACTCGGTCTTTTTCTTTTTCTCACCTGATGGCTACACCTGCTTTTTATCCGAGCCAATGTGTTAGTGAAATATTTGTCATTGCATTTTTGTATTCCTGTACTCAATTTTATTATTGATGTGTGAGGGGTCACAATCATTCTGAATTCTGTTTGGAACCCAATATTGAAGTTGTTGAGATCTGTTTCCATTCCAACTTTGGGAAATTTTATCCTGAGGCATATAAAAAGTATTTTAAGCATACAAAAAAAATATATATATATATGAAGGGGCATTATATTGCCTGCATGAACAGGCTTTTTTAAAAATGTGTATCCTCACATAGAAAGGGACAAGGATGCATGACGAAATCTTTGTTGAGTACAAAATAAAAATAAAAATAAAAAACCCACACGTTGTCATCTAAGCATTGAGCATTTTCATGATTTTTACAGGTTATTTCATGCTGAAATTATGCCTATTTGCATGGATAGTCATTCTTTAAAACTAGCCACAGATGCAGTCCTAGGGAGCACGTAGATGTTTTTACAGGTGAACCGAAAGAGATGGGAGCCATTCCAAACACTCTGCACGCTGCCTTTGGCAATAGACCCTGTTATTGTGAAGATGTGCTCTGTTAAGCAAACGTGAAGTTTAATATTAGAGAAACCCTTGTGAAAAAAATATTTTCATTTTCTTCACAAAATGTTAATTGTAAGCAAAAAAGATATGACATCTTACAGTCACACAAAATTGGGGGGTAGCATCCCTGGGTAATAAGTCACAAAATACGTGAGGTGCCTTTTATAAAATGCAAGGAAGGATATCTGTTTTAATATTGTATCCTCAAGCAACAACGGCAGTTCACGTGCAGAGAAGATACTCTCTTTCTCATATATTTGATCATGCTGTTTGCATCTTTATTTACTTTCTTTTAGTCTTTTTCTCCCCCCTTTAATTTGGCATAAGAAAGAAGATTCGCAAAGGATGTGTATATTAAAGTTTCTTTGGGCATTTGAAGTAGGATTTTGGCAGGTTTTAACAGAAGAAAACTAATGTCGAAGATACATTGATCCTTGCCTCACTCAGTTTATTGTTCCACATATTGATTTTCTAAAATGTGACAGTTCCTTCATTTGCAGTGAGTCCCGACTTTGGAATAATTTAAGTCATCAAAAGGACATCATGAAAATTCATAAATCTTCTCACCCTCACATTAAGATATAGCAAGAGATCGCATTTTCAAATGTGATTTTACTAAGAAAAATGCACATCTATGCCAAATCAGCAGACTTGTAAAATGAATATTTGTGCATTTATTTCAATGTGAAATTGACCATTTGTATTGGAGAAGTGCTGATGGGGGTGTTGTCCCTCCCATTTCAGATATGACAGAAATATTTGAAAATTCAGTAATAAGGGGGAGGGGCGTGTAAAGTATTTACGTGTATTTTCGAGTCTTTCTCCTCTAACAGCCTTGAAAAGACAATAATTTTAATTCCGACGTGGAATTTTTCTTCCAAATTTTCACACAGCCTCCAAATTGAACCTTATTTCTTAAGTACGGACCACTTTCATCTTCTTTTTGTAATACGAATCTCAATGCCCAAAATTTAATCAATTGGTTGTCAGAGGCTGTGTTCTTATAATCTACTGTTTCTTCTGAAGATAAACAGTATCATTTTAGGCATTTGTGAAAGAGAATCATATTACTGGTGCTTAAGCAGTTTTTGCTTTTTTTTTTTTTTAATCTTAATCCATCTTAAACCAGTGGAGCAGAAATATTTAAAAATGTTTCATTTCAAGCAGAGTGCATAATAAATTGCAATAATTGTAATGTGCCATAAATCCCAGAGCCTATGCATTTTGCATTTGATTCAGGATTGAGGTCAGGAAATTTGGAGAAATTTAAAGAAAATGATTCATCAGTCCTTTTGTTCTGTTGGCCAGGGTCCCGGGATTCTTGAGCTGTGCCCAGCTGACGAGCTTTTGAAGATGGCACAATAACTGTCCAGTGATGCCTGACCATGACAGCACAGCCCTCTTAAGCCGGCAAACCAAGAGGAGAAGAGTTGACATTGGAGTGAAAAGGACGGTAGGGACAGCATCTGCATTTTTTGCTAAGGCAAGAGCAACGTTTTTTAGTGCCATGAATCCCCAAGGTTCTGAGCAGGATGTTGAGTATTCAGTGGTGCAGCATGCAGATGGGGAAAAGTCAAATGTACTCCGCAAGCTGCTGAAGAGGGCGAACTCGTATGAAGATGCCATGATGCCTTTTCCAGGAGCAACCATAATTTCCCAGCTGTTGAAAAATAACATGAACAAAAATGGTGGCACGGAGCCCAGTTTCCAAGCCAGCGGTCTCTCTAGTACAGGCTCCGAAGTACATCAGGAGGATATATGCAGCAACTCTTCAAGAGACAGCCCCCCAGAGTGTCTTTCCCCTTTTGGCAGGCCTACTATGAGCCAGTTTGATATGGATCGCTTATGTGACGAGCACCTGAGAGCGAAGCGCGCCCGGGTTGAGAATATAATTCGGGGTATGAGCCATTCCCCCAGTGTGGCATTAAGGGGCAATGAAAATGAAAGAGAGATGGCCCCGCAGTCTGTGAGTCCCCGAGAAAGTTACAGAGAAAACAAACGCAAGCAGAAACTGCCCCAGCAGCAGCAACAGAGTTTCCAGCAGCTGGTTTCAGCCCGAAAAGAACAGAAGCGAGAGGAGCGCCGACAGCTGAAGCAGCAGCTGGAAGACATGCAGAAGCAGCTGCGCCAGCTGCAGGAGAAGTTCTACCAAATCTATGACAGCACCGATTCTGAAAATGATGAAGATGGTAACCTGTCTGAAGACAGCATGCGCTCGGAGATCCTGGACGCCAGGGCCCAGGACTCCGTGGGGCGGTCAGATAACGAGATGTGCGAGCTGGACCCAGGACAGTTCATTGACCGAGCCCGGGCCCTGATCAGGGAGCAGGAGCTGGCTGAAAACAAGCCGAAGCGAGAAGGCAACAACAAGGAGAGAGATCACGGGCCCAACTCCTTACAACCCGAAGGCAAGCATTTGGCCGAGACCTTGAAGCAGGAACTGAATACGGCCATGTCGCAGGTTGTGGACACGGTGGTCAAAGTCTTTGCAGCCAAGCCCTCCCGCCAGGTTCCTCAGGTCTTCCCGCCTCTCCAGATCCCCCAGGCCAGGTTCGCAGTCAACGGGGAAAACCACAATTTCCACACCGCCAACCAGCGCCTGCAGTGCTTTGGCGACGTCATCATTCCGAACCCCCTGGACACCTTCGGCAATGTGCAGATGCCCAGTTCCACAGACCAGACAGAAGCACTGCCCCTGGTGGTCCGCAAAAACTCATCCGACCAGTCTGCCTCCGGCCCCCCCACCGGTGGCCACCACCAGCCCCTGCACCAGTCGCCTCTCTCTGCCACCGCAGGTTTCACCACGTCCACCTTCCGCCACCCCTTCCCCCTTCCCTTGATGGCCTACCCATTTCAGAGTCCATTAGGTGCTCCCTCCGGCTCCTTCTCGGGAAAAGACAGAGCCTCTCCTGAATCCTTAGACTTGACTAGGGAGACCACGAGTCTGAGGACCAAGATGTCATCCCACCACCTAAGCCACCATCCTTGTTCACCAGCACACCCGCCCAGCACCGCAGAAGGGCTCTCCCTGTCGCTCATCAAGTCCGAGTGTGGCGATCTTCAAGACATGTCCGAAATCTCACCTTATTCGGGAAGTGCAATATCCTTTTATTCTCCGCTCCAGCAAAACAAAACAAAACAAAAGGCTTCCCCCAAGGTCAGGTTTCCACAATCTATAGAATAATGTAGATTAGGATCTTCTTAAGAATGCAATCTTTCCTATTATCCAGGGTAATAGGCTTTTTTCAACACACTTCTGATTGCACAAAAGCTTCCCAGAAACCCACATCTTCGCAACTTTCACAAGTTGTTAATTGCCTCAAAGAGCTGGTATTTAATATGTGTCTTTTCACCAGCGCCCTTTCTGCTTTTCTTCCTATATTATACCTTTTTTTTTTCTTTAGGAGTAGAGTCAGAGATGGACAAAAATCTCACTGTAATATTGAATTCTGTCAGATTTCTTTAAAAAGATTTTACGTTTTATAATGACGTCAAGAGAAAAGTCAGTTTTGAAATCCTTAAGATTCCGTAAGAAGAACTGTCCCTTTAAACCATCTTCAAGGCCCCTGGTCCTTGCAAAGAAGACCTGATTAAATCTTATAAAGAGCACTTCCCTGGTGGGAGGCTTCAGTGGGAGAAAAATGGACATGGATGGGAAGTTAGATTCTCTGTTTAATCTTTAAGTTAGACGTGGCGGGGGGGAGGGGGGGTGTTGTTCTTTTTGTTTGTTTTTTTAAGGAAATATACAGGTACTGATTTATTCAGACGGCACTGGTCTCTCTCTCTCTCTCTCTCTCTCTCTCTCTCTCGTTCACCCAAGGTCTGTTCTTTGGGTCTGGTGCAGCTGCCTCTATGCATGATTAACCTCTGTTCAGCCATAGACAGAAATCTTTTGTCCTAACATACACAAAGCAAATTATTTTGGAAAGCGAGAGAGCACAATTAAATATAAAACTCAGCTGTATTCGACTTAAGATGGCTTTTCTTATGGCTCTTTTATATTTTTGAACCTGACTTTTAGGTAGAGATGCCAGTTATATTTTTTATTAGACCCCTCCTGAACTCCAGCTATTTTTAACTGACTTTTTTTTCTCTCTCTCTGTAAATCGGTCCTTTCAGTAAATTTTTAAAAATTTTGTGGTTGTTGGTGTTTTGGGATAATAGAATAGTATCATTTGGGGGCAGGTAGAGGCATGTTTCTTTTCTAGTAAATTGCCAGATGGATATAAAATTTAGCAATTAAGTTGGCTGTTGCTAAACTGAGGATTTTGAGCAATTGTCCTGATGACTGGAGATTGACATTTCAGGATCTAAGCCCACTTCAGAGGCTGCCACATAAGTGCAAAGCCCCAGCTATGGTGGAATTGCATTTTCCTGTGTAGTGAAGGCCATCCTTCTAGTCAGCTCTTAGAAGAGTAGTGAAGATTTTTGATAAGGTGAATGAGAGCCACAAATAATGAGACCCGCTTGGGGCAGTGAACACAGTCTCTTTCCATAATGAGGAAGAAGAGGATAATGTCATGAGAGGAAGGAAGATAAAGATGTTGGGGACTTAGACATATAAAGAGAAACTGAGTCTGGATTTGGCTGCTGATTTAACTTCTACTTTTCAAAGACCTAAAATTTAATCTACCAGCCATGAATCAAAGCCGTGCCAAACACCATGCCACGCATGTTATAAACAGGCAATAAACATCGGTCAGAATGATTGTAATATAGTGTGGGTGAGGAGAAAGGCAAAGGAAGAATATGTAGCATCTTGAATGGTATTTTACCCTTGGCAGGAAGGGCATCTTCTGAGGCTCATAGAAGGCTGATGATGTCCAGGGCTAGACCCTATTACTCTCAGACATCTCTTCATTTTGAAGGCAATAGTCGTGATGGTGGATTGTTTCTCTGTCTCTCTCTCTCTCTCTCTCTCTCTCTCTCTCACACACACACACACACACACACACACACACACACACAGAGGAAAGGGACATACCTATTTCAAGGAATATTTGAAACCAGGTTTCAGAGTCCCCTAAGTGCAGACTAAAACTCTTTAACCAGTTTATGGGGGGTTTTTTTTGTGTTGTTTTTTATTAGACTTTTCATTGTCACCAGATAATTATGCCTGTGCTTTTATTATTATTTTTTTTAAGTAAGTTGGGTCTTCTAGGAAAGAAATCTTTTAGATTGCTTTAAGTGTTGGCTACATTCATTGTCTCACGCTCTCTAAATCCCCCGAGGAATTTAGAGGATTTGAATTGAAAGAAGTTCCTTTTATTTCTATACATATCAAAGACTTTAAAGAGAATATAGTTGCTTCTTCAGCTGAATGACTAACTTCCCTCTCCTGCCAATGTAAGAGTCTGTTGAACAGGGATGGTTTGAAAACACCTGTGTTCATATGAAATGTTGCTTACACCTGGAGCTGTTTCTTTCATGAGGCTAAATAATTTTGGCCTCTGGTTGCAGTTAATGATTACATTTTCCACCTTTTGGCCATTGACCCTCTTCTGTTTCTTTACCCTCGATTATGCCGTACTTTTAACCATTTATCTCATTGATATATTATTTCTCAGGAAGAAGATAGGCAAGGATCCTTTTCCATAATCCACATGATTCTGAAGCCAATGAGGATCTGATCCACTTTTCTTCTGTCTCCATCCCGGAATGGCAATGGGTTCTTCCCTTGATTTATCTAATGGCATTGTAGGCAAAATTCTCACACTTTTAGTTTAAAGAGGTTTCTGGGAATCCTAGCAAGTGGTGTCTACTTCACTTTTGGGCATATATGGCCATCTTTGAACTTGTGGTACAGTTATTCCTAGAAAAACATTCAATAGACATGAGTAGGAGTGGGATGAAATGATAGCTTTAGGATTGTCATCATTATATTTTTATTTGTAGTCATAGCTTTTCAAATAGTAATAAATAATTTAGGGCTTAAGGAATGATTCTTTCTCACTCCAAGGGGCATCATCTGTGTCTTCGAACAAAGCAGCCAAGATAAGAACTATTAAGAATACCAGCTTATCAGATAAATCCATTCTAAGTATTGACACATTAAGCGTATATAATCTATATAAAAGCACTACCTCGTTATCCTTTCTAATAGAAAGGAAATAGTGAATGTGTGCATGCTAAACTCAATGTCCGTGCACCTGCTTCAGGAGCTCACATCTTGGATATAAAAAAATGTGTTCAGTATCTTTGCAAATGAACCCATTTAATCAAATATTAAGTTTTATTCAAATTCCAAAAGAAACAGCCAGCCAATTGTTTTTCTTCATGATGTTCCTTGTCATTCACCCTCTTTGCATCTCAAGAAAAATAGCCTTGTTCAGGCCTCGGACATTTGCATACACCCAGCTAAAACGCAAGAGTAGTATTACAAACCCTTAAGATGTGCAGGTGAAGAAACTCCGTCTGTTCTCTGTGACAGCCAGTGTTTCCTACTTGACTTTTAGGGGAGAATATTTAAAATACTTGAGGTTTAGAAAGGGAAATTGGTAATTCAAAACAAAAATCCAACTGGAAAACATGGCCTGAAAAATGAATTTCTAAAATGTTAAATAATCCATAGACATTTTTAGAAGACTCATGGGGCCATAGTAATTCTATTAGCTGCATTAGTTATGGGGAAAACATTTATGTTAAAGACTGAGAGACTCTGGGCTCCTACCCCCCCCAACCAAATTATTAAGTAAAAAAAAAAATTTTTTTTTAATTTCCACAAATGACACACCTTTATGTGCTGAATCTCTTAATGGAGAAACAATTTGTTCTATCACTTTCATTAAATGAGACAGGTTAGATCTTTTCTCCATATTTAAGGGAGAAATTCTCTTAGAAACAGCAAATCAGAGCATAAGGAGAAAGTAAAATTCTTTGGGTTTCAAAGCATTTGAAAATTCTTTACAAAATGTAAGTAAGGAGCCCCAGGCCAGTCTGGCTAGAACTGCAGCCTGTAAAATCTAACCACAATTCAGGGTTCCACTGGGGGGGGTGGGGGGGGAGAAAAAAAAAAGAATTCGCTTCCTCCAGCATTCACAACATATTCTTGCACTTGCCTTCTCGCAGCCTCTGTTCCTCCCCTGCCCCTGCTGTTTAGGTAAGGTTATCCTGTGCTGGGTAAACAGACAACACTCAGATTCTCAGGTTGTGCGAACCCCGCCTCAGGTTCAGCCGCAGTACCCTACTTCTCTGATCTTTTTTATTCCTGAGCAGATGTCTTTCATTAATTTATGGATTTATCATCTTTTCTTCCCCCCCTTTTCTTTTTTCTTTTTCTTTTTTTCTTTTCTTTTTCTTTTCTTTTTTTTTTTTACACCTGGCAGCTGTCTCAAGTTTCAGCAGTTATTGTCTATTTTGCATTACACATAGAATTGAATGTCATCTGTCTTCACAAAGCTATGGCTAAGAGAATTGAGGCAAAGCCACATGAGCTGCTGGGACAGATCTTGTTTGCGTTCCATCCCCCTCCCCCCACCCCCCCTTACCTCCTTAATATTTATTTGTGCTCATTTTCTTTCCTGGCCTTGAATGGAGCTTAGCTCGTGTTCAGTACAGCTGTATGTTTACTGAATCTATTCCATCATGAGTCATTGTGCGTGTGTAAGTATCCTGGAAACAGCTAGTGCTTTCTTGGAAGAACAGTTGCTTTTCAGCACAAGCACTTAAAAGGGAAATTAACCAATTGGTCAGTTCAGATTTATTTTGAGGAAGAAAAATAGGATTCTCTAACTGTTGGCTTTTAAATGTTTCATTAGCTATTTTTAATAGTTTATTAGAAACATATATTTTATGGGAATTTTATCTTAATTACACGATGAGCAAGAGATACGGATGTATTCTGTGTTCCATTTCAACTGATCAATTCTAAGTATTACCGACAGGAAGCATTTTAAAGCAAAACGGGCTTGAGAAACCCAAATTAGAATAATTTTGTCGGGAAATCAAAAGCCCCTAAATCCTGATCAAAATAAGATGAAGTGTTTGTTTTGTTCTGTGTTTTGTTTTTTTTTTAATAGAAAGAACAAATACCTCTTAGCATCATTTAAGTGTCTCAGAAGCATCAGGAAGTTTTGGTAGCTCTGTCGCTGAGGACCACGGCACAACGGTGTGTTTTGCAGGAGACCAGATTTTTTTAAACTTGGTACTTTTCCCTGCTACGAATTGCGGTGTGCAAGGTGGTTTTTTAATCTAGCCATCTGAAGAAAAGATTAGAACCCAGATCTGAGACTGTTTGCTAAAGTTTGGACTTGCCTGAAACTCTTATCATCAGGCAATAGGAGACAGCTTGCAACTATTATTTCACTTATCCATTTGGACAGATGGTCCTGAAGTGTGCTGGGCTCCTTTAGCCTTGTCTATCTGTCTAATGGAGGTTACTGGAGGGCCTTTCAGCTCTTTCCTTGGCGCAAGAAGTATGTCAGTCATAAATTATCGTCTTTGTGATCATTAAGGATCTGAAACAAAAACACAAGTTCGGTTAAGCTGCTTTGGCTTACAGATATAAAATCAAAATTTCTTCCTTCAGTGTTTATTCTTCCGCGGGGGCAGAAGGCCGGCTGGGGGCGGGGGGGGCACAATATTTCACATTTCTCTTTACAAACCAAGGTGATCTTTTCAAAATTGCATGACGTTAAAGGGGATGCTAATTGACCAAATCCTCTGTAGAATATTTGGTTAAGCGCCCTGTTGTAAGTAGTCAAGAGCTTATCGGTATTAATTTGATTATGCTTCTCTACTCACTTCCTGGTTTCTCTCTCATCCTAAGATTGGTCACGCTGTTCTTGATGGAGGTCATTTGGAAACCTTGACTTTTCCCAAATATGTGTGTGTGTTCGACCTTTTTCTCACAAGGTGTGGCGTTTTTGTTGGGTAGTAAAATGTGTGTGCGTGTGTGTGTGCGCATGTGTGGGCATGCACACACAAGTGCATATTTTATTTTCTTTCCTTCCTTATTTTTCCCAGACTCTCTTTTAAGAGAAAATCCTTAGAGAAGCTTCTAGGAAGGACCCTTAATTGACCTTGTGGGGGACCACATTGATTTTCTCCACGTGCATCTTCATTTCTGATAAATTATAAAGCCATTAATTTGCTGAGGAAATGGCAGGGCCAGGCTGCGGCACAGATGTGACCAGAGCCATCCCAGCTCCGAGTCTGCTGGGGAGTGCCAAGAATCTGGGGGAGAATCAGGAAGCCTGGACTGTTATGGTTAGCCTCACATTCTCTTGGGAACTGTTTTAGTTGCTGCTGTTTACAGATCTAAAAGGTAATGATGTTTCCAGATAAATAGGCCTTCTTATTTTGGGTAAGTGGCCATTTATTGATCTGCTAACCCGCGTTTATTGATTTGTTAGCCCCGACCACTGGGCCACTCTCAAAGGAGTTAACTATAAATCCAGGAGAGGCAAATCGTATTTGGTTTTGGATCGTTGCTTTAACAAAAGCGACACCCCCCTCCCTCCCTGCTCTCTCTGTGCCAAAACGACCCCTCCCAAGTTTTAGCTCTTATTTAAAAGGAAACAATTAAAAGGATATAAGAGTAAGATAGGAAGAAAGTGAGTCAAGATGCTCCCTTAGATTAGCGCTAAAAGGTAAAATGTGAAGCTTGCCTAACAGTGTTCAAAATAATGCATTTTATATTTTCACGCACATTAGGATAATAATTTGCTGTAAACTGCAGAGTGTGGGGAGAAGAGCAAACAGAACTGTGGTTGCGAAGAAGAAAAAAAATTGTCACGATAAGAGTTGTAGAATACACGTTGGGTACATTTGTCTCCTTAGCAACAAGTGAACGTATAGGTAACATAAGGACCTCAAACAGGGCGGATGTTTTGCCATCCTCACCATGGATAGCCATGATTCTGCAACTACACCATTACCCTTGACATTCTCTAACAAACAATGGTCATTCTGAGCAAGCACAGCAAGGTAGTGAGGGATTCGTGGCCAGCGCCCTTTACCTTCCAGAATTCTCATGGCTGCTCCAGATTCTTTGGGTGGGGCGGGGGGGGGGTGGTGGCAGGGGAGGCGGCGGGTGGTAGGTGCTTGCGTTTAAAGAAATTTTCTCCTTAACTGAATGCATCCTACATGCAGGAAGGATTGTCACCCAATCACTTGAAGAAAGCAAAGCTCATGTTCTTTTATACCCGTTATCCCAGCTCAAATATGCTGAAGACCTACTTCTCCGACGTAAAGGTAAGGACATTTTTCATTAGTAATTTTTCAATGTCTGTGCACGTGGGAGTGATTTGAACTCTGGGAAGGTAACAGAGATGAATGTGGAATCAACTCATGAATACACCTGTGTTATAATTGATTTAATGCACTTGTAATTTTGTCTAAAGCTGTCCCGGGCAAAGATGCCCCTTAAGACCAAAAGATGGGTATGAAGTCACATGGGTCTCCAGTCTGATCTGGGAAACTTAGCTTCTTGTCTTAGCAACCCCTTAGAAGAAATTGCAGCCGGTCCTGGATGGGTGTGCTTTAGAGAATGTTTTGCTGTTGTTTTCTTCCTCCTCCCTTGAGCAACAGTAAACTGTTTCTGTTTTCATTTCTGTTGGTTTCCCCATATTTGTGCTTATGAAAGCAAACTCTAGCACCTCTTTTTCCCCCTGTCGAAAGGAGCGTACATTGAAATTCTCTACGCAGTAGCTGCTTAAAAACAAAAGTGATGATTGTCTCTTATTTACAACTTAATTTGTTGTTGATGTAGAGTACACTGAGCATAAGGAGAATGAATAAAGTGACAGATTCAGGACACATTATTCAAATGAGGATATGAAAGCTGTCGGCCTACAGCTGCAGCCTCCCTCATTCTACAGAATATGGGGACCTCCCGGTTCTGTGTGCGTGTGTGTACGCGCGCGCGTCTGCGTCTGTGTGGGGGTTTTAAGTAATTGTTTGCAACAACTTGATGTTGTGTTAATCATCTGCAACTTTTTAAAACATAGATTGGGTTTTGATGATGATAATGACACACATGGTATCATTATCTGAGGAATTTGATAAACATTACATTAGCTGAGATTAGTTTATTGGGGTTGGGTGCTTTCCCCGCCCCCTGCTGCCCACCCCCATATGTACAAGTTCTTATTTCTGCCACTGAGAACTCAGGAGCTGCCAAAACAGGCCTGTCGCTCCAGTGTCCCCTCCGTGCAGTGTGTTCTGTGCTCGATGCCCATTTGCCGCGTCGGCCCCCTTTTGCAGGCCAACTCATTTCAGTTTCCTTCGCTGATGTTTTATTTGGCCTTATAAGAAAAGTTCTGTTTTCCCTCCTGTTCGCTTTTGAATTGTGTATCAACTTCAGCCTTTTATCTTTCTCCTTCCCTGGCTGAGCTCCTTAAGTGGAAAGCATGTTTTCTCCCCACTCAGGGCCAACAGACCGAGCTGGATGGGAAGGCACAGAAAGGCAGTAACTTGAACGGCTGGTTGAGGATCATTAAAGCATAGAAAAGGCTGAGCGACACAGCAGGCCAGGGAAAGGGTTTGGACTTGGTGAGAGACCATCTGAAACAGAGACCGTGGAGGGAATTTGTCCACTGGCCGAAGGCCGGACAGCTTCTGGGGCCTAGTGGAACCTGGCAGACTTCTTTCTGGGGGTCCCCTCAACACTAGTTTGAGGAAAGGGGAACATGGAGGAGAGGGAGAAAGTATCACTGGGCACACGTGTGTGTGTGTGTTTGTGTGTGTGTGTGTGTGTGTCTAGGTGCCCATGTTACCTCCTCCACTCCTCTTAGTGCAATGATCTGCAGTGTTGTGACATAATAATGGCCATACCTTCTATTATTTAGATAAGACTTTGCATCAGAAGGAGGCCAGAGAGATTTACAAATTGCACACATAGAGACCTCTCACCTACCATGGAAGTGCAACCACCTGGAGGGTAGAAAGCAGCCATTGGGAGCCAACAACACTATCCAATAGTCGATGTAAATATTAGAAACTTCCTCACGTGCAAGCATGTATGCATGGGGGTGGGGGTGGGGGAGAAGAGCAAGGATGGGGGAGATTATTAATCTGTAGTAGTTAATCTGTAATCTTTATAAATACTCTGCAGTGTAAACTGACATGAAATTGTTCCCATTCCTTTAGAATACAACTAGTAATTCAGCTTTGCAAATAATCACTGTAAACAACAATTAAATACTGGGGTGAATACCTTATTTAAAAAAGCACAAATATTCACATTATAGATTCTATCCATACTCTATCCATACTGGGAGAGAAGGCTGTTAAAGTATACTGGAGTCTAGTTAATTCCCAATTATCCACTCTAATGGAGGGGAAACAGTAGAGCATATAGTGCATAGCAGAGAATCACCAAAGGTCACTTCTCTTTTATTTTTAGAATGAATTATACATTTTTAACTTTGCTAATTATGTTTTCTCTTTGGCTAGTAATAAATGAATTTGTATTCCCTGGGCTTATGCTGATGATATGGGAAAGGCATGCATAGAAAGGGAAGGATAGCCTAGACATGGTGTTCCAGAAACTTTGTAGAAAACAATGGCAGAGCATTCATGGATTTTTTAATATTTTTTAATATTAAGGAAAATCCCAGGGCGCCTGGGTGGCATCCGACTTTGGCTCAGGTCATGATCTCACGGTTCGTGGGTTCGAGCCCTACGTCGGGCTCTGTGCTGACAGCTAGCTCAGAGCCTGGAGCCTGCTTCAGATTCTGTATCTCCCTCTGTCTCTGACCGTGCCCTGCTTACACTGTGTGTGTGTCTCTCAGAAATAAATAAAAACATTAAAAAAATTTTTTTAAATATTAAGGAAAATCCAGAATTTTATTTGATGGTATATTATATTATTACATTTTGTTAGGTGTATGTGTGTCTATATGTACACACATACCTAGTTTTAGATATACATATATAAATGTGGATACTTATTTGCAAGACTGAAATAACTAGATGCTTCTCTATATATGATGAAATTTAGATTCAAGAAAACCACTGCAGAATTAAGAGACCCCTAGAAACGAGAGGAAGCCCCTTAGGAGTTATCAGAAGTGACCTATGTTGAGAAAGACATGCTCACGTGTTTGTGGACCAAGCAATAATTGTCACAATGACATAAGCCTACACTTGATTGTGGCTGCATTCATCTAAGTGAAAATTCCGAATCCTAGCAAAATATACCTTTTCAAACCATAAAAGTCATTTCAAATGAGGATCAGAAGTTAGTATTTAAGTGGGGAAAAAAAACGAGAGAAACAACACCAGTAGAAGATATTTTGTTTCATGAGGAAAGCGCCGCCTAGGTGTCATCAAAGACACAGTTGGCAGATGGTGCTAGACCGAGTGAATCCTCTGATCAGCTCCAGAAGGTGAGCCCAGCCAGGGTGATCTGCCCTCCCTTGCATTTTCCCCTAGGAATGCATACAGGGCTTCACTCTCTACTAGTGACTTCCATTTGTGCAGGAGGTGAGTGCTTGTAAATTACTTTGCAAAGAAAGAGGTGGAGGAAGACCTCGCATAATTCAGACACCGGCCTGGTGAGCGTCTTACAATGACGATACAGAGGAAGAAGGAAACCAAGGTTGACTTGGTTTCACTCCTTGAGTCGGAATCCAAACAGAGGTGCCCGTCCTCTCGGACTCCGGCTTCATTCCCTCACCATGCCATGTAGCCAGACGAAAAGCTCAGCTCATCAGGGTTTCATATCCTTTGGGAAGAGCAAGGGGACAAATTGGAGAGACGTGCCAGAGATCAGCGGCCCCCAACATCTTCCTGTTCGCTCCCGAGTGCTGATTTTAATGTATCAACTAATAACTCTTAGACCACGAAAGACAACAGACCCAGTGCCATTTTAGCTTTGAAGAACAGACGCTCACAGCTTTTCACGCCGGCAGTGTTAAATGATGTATCTCATTCCCTCCACCCCTTGAGTCAACTGCTGCCTAGCCAGATTAAGGTGTCAGATTGATTTGTTTTATACATCTTTTGACCATGCTCATTGAATATTTAGGAAGTTTCTTCAGCCCATATTGAGGCTGAGATGTCCCGTGGGAAGCATTAATCAAAGTCACAGAGACTCACACACTGTGGAAACACAGCCTCTTTATTGTAGCGATTAGTTTTTGCAGTAACACATTAACACACTACAGAGGTCTCCTTTATAGAACAATTGATCCTTTTCTTGTAAGCCACTACAGAACGGGGGGAAATTAACTCTTTAAAGTTTAACACTTTTTCTCCCCCCAGCGCGACTATCTGGAAGAGAGGGGGCCTGCCTTTGCTTTTCGCCAGCCACTAAAACAGGACAAATTTCGGTTTTCCTAGTGGAGGGAAACCCGGTTCTTCAAGCTGTTGTGATGGTCATTTCACTTGTCTTATGTCGGGGGAGTCTGTTGTTTTTGCCCATTCTTTCTCTCTGGTATTTCCATTCTCTAACAATAAGCTTTAAATCTCCCTTTATGTCCCATTCCTAAATAATGGCAAGTGCACTTACTTTTTTGTCCTCCCCCATTAGGTCATTCATGACCATTCTAGAAAAAAAACACCCTTCTATTTTTTTCCTCTACAGTACTCTTGTCCATAGGAGACAATGTCTTGTAACAATGCAGAAGCCTAATCTCCATGTCAAAGCAATTTTCATTCCCCAGTGCACAGCCTGCTATCATTTTGTAATGTTTTGTTTCTTATTCTAAAAGAATTAAAAAGGAACAGTAAGCCGTCACGGGGGCCTGTAGTCCTTATCTCAGTGTCTGGAAATTTGGACAGTGTATTTTACTGCTGAGATAAAATGGAAAGAACTCCAAGTTCAGCAAATCGTAATGGGTTTAAGTTCTATTGAAATCGGCAACCAGAAGATCAGATAAGGGGGGTCCTTCAGTTGTCTTTTTAATCGGGTTCCCCGCAAGGCTGAATAGAGACAGAGCAGACACACAGAGTGAAAATATAATTCTTGGATAGGTTAAGTACATGTTTGAACTCTTGCAAGCAGAAGCGATTTGCTGATGACTTAATCATTTTCTGGTCAATTATCTGTAAGGGCCCTTGCAACTCCATGGCAATTATGATGCAAGTTGGCCTTTTGGGAGAAACACCAGTCTCCCTGCTTCTGTTTCCTTGTTACGTCCATTCTCTGCCATAAATTTTCATTCATTTATTATCTTTGCTAGTATAGAAACAACTTTCTGTGTAGTAATTACAGCTCCAATACACACTTTCGCTGTCATCCTGTTGGAGTCTGGATGTCCTCATGGCCAGTGTTTGATAAGTGGTCTTTGTTGATTTTTGATGAATGTACATCTTTTTCTGGGGGCCAGGGAAGGGAATGCCCGTAATGACAAAAGGCGGCAGGGGTGGGGGGGGAGGGAGGGGGTTGTCTGTCAGCCCGCCTGATATAAAGCTATGGGTTTATTGGTTTTGACTTGGCAACTTGAGATGCATCTGTCCTTTACGTGAACAGAGGATTGTCAATAAGAAGGGTATCGTTTGCGGTGAATCCAGGAAGACATCTTCATTTCAAAGGTCATCAGGAAACCTTGGTAAACAAAGTTTTAAAGCCTAATCATGTTATGGTAACTTGACATTTAAAAAAAAAAACAACGCAATATAGTTTCTGTCTATGCCGTCTGCGTACTGCGTCTTAACCACGCTTTCCAAACAGCGTAGACGCCAACAGAAAGGGGCGTGGGTTTTACCCAATGCCGGCCATAGGAAGTGTACTAACCAACATGGCGGTTCTGACCAGACAGCACCGGATGTGAGTACTGTGTGCAGACATAAGGGGGAGTGAGAGCTGGATGGCCTTGGGGATCATCCATTTACCAAAAAATAAGCTAATGCCAGATTCCTCCCCTTTTGCACGAAAGCTGTTTTCCAGCACTCTACGAGGCCATCATGTGATGACACAAATTCTTGTTAAGAAAAGAAGTCATGCTAGTGGTAAAGTCATGTGGCTCACCGTCTCTGGTACAGGTTTCCCCCCCGCTATCCAAAAGTAGAATGTTCTTATGAAACTTTTCATAAGCCGAAATGACATAAAGCAAAGAAGCAATTACCGTTAATTTATATGGGGAAAATGTTGAGCGTTCCCAGACCCAAAAAATAACCTCTCTTAAACTTTTCTGATACCCTAGGACACATCTCGATAACAGATGCACAAAATAAATCAAATAAAGCACAGATGCTCACAGACACAGTTCAAAGCTATGGCAGCTTGATGCTGAGATGCTGAGCCTCGTTCCTGGGGAAGGAGCCTGGCGGGGGGGGCACTCTTGCTGCTCGGGGTATGTGCTGCCTCCATACAGGCTCGCTGCAAAACCAATGCTGGACGCTGTTTTCCCTTGTCCCTTTCTTTCTGAAAAGTAAAAATCCTCTTTGGATTTCTTTCTGTTCGCGAAACCAGGCATTAATGTAGATCTTTTCGTAAAAGCAAGATGGTGGAACCTAAACTTTTGAAAAGCAGGGGAAGCTGTACTTGAAAGTAACAACTCTTTCCAGGGTTATGTGGTTTGAATGAATTTCCATAAGCAGTACACACATGTAGTTTGTTCCACTGAAAGATAAAGAACAATGTTTAAATTAAGATCTTCAGCTTAAAGGAAATCAGATTGAGAATGCTAGTTTTCCATTTGAAATGTGGAGGGTTGGGATGTGATTTCCACTGTTGATGGGTTTTATGATCCCTTATAAATGTAGTACTGCTTTCACTCCTCTTGCCACCATTTTGGTGAAATCAAAAACACACCCATCCAAGCGAGGAGGAGAGGAGACCTTTAAAAATACTTCAAAATGCTTAAAGAATAAATGAATAAAATGGTGATGTTCTTATCCTTTTCAACATTTAAATTTGACAGTTCAACAGATGCATTACCTCTCAGCTCATCAAGTGGTTTAGCAATTTCCGCGAGTTTTACTACATTCAGATGGAGAAGTATGCACGTCAAGCCATCAACGATGGAGTCACCAGTACTGAAGAGCTGTCTATAACCAGAGACTGTGAGCTGTACAGGGCTCTGAACATGCACTACAATAAAGCAAATGACTTTGAGGTAGGAACTCATCTTTATTGTTTGGTCGTTTCCCTTTTCTTTTTTTAAGAAATTTGATTTCTTTAGCAGGGCCCCCACATCTGTGTTAGCCTCGTTATCTCACACAAGCGTGCCCTGCTAGGGTAAGAGGTAGAGCAGCAGTGAGGAGCCCCTTCTGTGGTTCCCATCTGGGTCCCGGGGAGCTGACCCACCTCTACTTCCTTTCCCATTCCCCAGCTTGGCCGCTTTGCATGAAGACCCATTGGCCACAGAAAGAGGGAACTGGAGAATTCAAAGAAAACGGCAGCAAGGAACCCACACACAGTGATTCCTTTCCAGAGAAGAGGTCCCCACTCTACTAGGCCTTTTTTGCTATTTAGGGTCTGGCATGTCACTTGGGCTGACCTACGCTGTGTGCTAGGATAGCTGTAAAAGTTGTTTTCTAGAAAAAATCTGGAAAAGTTGACGGGGGAGTGATTCCGTGGTTTCTCCTTTAATCCGCATTTATTGCCTTCAGGAAAGACATGGTACGAGAATTTACCAAGCAAGTATTATGAGAGAGTAATCAACATCATTTGTTTTTGTTTTTGTTTCTGTTTTTGTTCTTTGGGGACAGAACCTAGTGTGTTTATTCTGTATATGTGTAGCTTCGCAAGCATGCTGCTCTTCGTTCATACTCTGTTACACACACACACACACATCTACAACATGCGTATTCTAGATACACGCAAAGCAGTATAGACGAGTCCCAGAAAGCAATAGCTATGCAACAGTGAAAGATGTGTGGCTATGAGTAAGGCGTTTCTTTACTGGCTAATGTGGTGCCTCAGCAAACACTTTTCATTGCAACGTGATGACTTTCCATGAGACAACACTAGCGAATCTCCCAGTCCCCACAAAGGCATTTTGCTGAGCCCTGCTGGCTCAGGCAACAATAGCTGGAGGTGGGGACGTGGCAAGGGTTTTTCAGGCCGAACCCCCCGATGGTGAGTGTAGACAGGCCATGGCCTGACAAAACTGGTCCCTTTCCTGTTGTCATCTTGAGGACAGAAATTTGTTTTTCTCCCACACTTGATCCTACCAGAACCTTATGTTAATAGTCTTGTTTTCCTCACATAGATAGGCATCCAGAAACACCCAGGAAGTCTGCAACTTCCGAAGAAGAGAAGGGCATCTTGGTCTAGCCCTGCCAATAAAAGAATTTGTCCTTCCCTGCCCACCACCTCCCGCCCCATCTGCCCATTCCTTTGGGGGCCCTTCCCACACTGCTTTTAGCAGTGCAGATCAGTGAGGGTGGCTTACCAGGCACCAAAGTTTGAAGCTTAGCCGTGAGGAAGTCATGGTTTTCCCTTGGAAGTTTGAACCTTGGGACTTTCCTTGGAAGTTATACCAGAAGCCACCGATGTACTCTTGCCGTCCCAGACTGGTGCGTTTTTCTTGCCAAATGTGTTATGAACAGGTTTTTCTTTGGCTGAATACATTAACAGTGGGGATCCTCCTGGCATTGCTTCACTATTTTAAAGTCTCTGTGTTTAACGTGTGTAGTAAGAGAGCTCTGGTTGACAGGCCTGATGGGACACCCTGGCGGAATTTCTTTGAAAACTGACAAGTAGGACTCTGGCTAAATATCTTAAAGAAATCTTATTAAGAGTTTCATTTCTTTTTCTCCCCCTTTCTGGTAAATCTGTTGCTCTACACTTGACCTAGAGACAATTCAACTGTGTGCTAGTGAACTCTTTACGGCTGATTACGGCAAATATTTGTTTGGCACTGTGCGTCAGCCTTCATGAAAGAATTGCCCAAGGTTTGTGCGATGAGTTCCGTGTTTTTGCTGTGTGCTAGTCTCGAGGGGACAAATCCTTACAGAGCACAGTAGGATTTTTAGGGCTTTCTAACCCTTACCTGGGTGGAATTTAATCCCCTGCTCACGGCACAGGGACCAGAATGACACAAACAGGGGTGGCTGGCATCAAGAGATACTCGGCAAGCTGCTCCATTTAGCATCATCTAAATCCTCCTTTAATATGATTAACATCTGATATTTCTCCCTTTGTGAATCATATCCACTTCCAGCCAGGCCACCTCTCCTTTATCTGCAGTGTCTATTTTAAGACTGCTTCAGCGCAAGGAGTATGGGGCCCAGGGAGCAGTTTTGTCACTTCTCATGTGACTTCAGACAAGTTCTTGGTCTATTCTGGGTCTTTTCCTTCTTCAGTAAAAACTAGGATCTTTCCAGAAATGTGGTAAGAAGAAATGCCAGGAGCATGGATTCTGACCTGTCCTCTCCCCTGCACGTATGCACATACGCATACCCACCGCTACATACGATCACTAAATAGCTTTTAATTTAGCCACCCAGCTTGGCGCACCTACTAACTAGAGCTTCAGATAGGACAGCCCCTTCTTTTCTGTGCACTCGTGCACGGAGGTCCATGCTTAAGCGACATGCTTAAAAAGCCACTGGTCTTATCAGTGTAGATTTACCACCATGGGCCGTGGCCATGAGCCTCAAGTAGACCCAGCACGTCACGCTGTATATCTCAACAGATACTCTGTGCACTGCTTGCCCTTTTTATGTAAGTCTCTCCTCTTAAGATCAAGCAAAGTGAATTCGTAATCTAATAGGAGCAAATGAAGAGGATGGCCATGTAGGAAACAGGATGCCTTGTTTCTTTTCCATTTTTTTTTCTTTTTTCTTTCTTTCTTTCTTTCTTTTTTTAATAGAGAGGGAGAGAGCATGAGCCGGGGAGGGGCAGAGAGAAGGAGAAAGAGAGAATCCCAAGTAGGCTCCACACTGTCAGTACAGAGCCTGATGTGGGACTTGAACTCATGAGCTGCGAGACTGTGACCCGAGATGAAATCAAGAGTCAGAGAAGCTTTACTGACTGAGCCACCCAGGCGCCCCTCTTTTCTAATTTTTAAATGGAGGTGAAGCAGAGTAGAGGGACTTCGAAGTTTTGTCTACCCGATGCCCAAAGATCCGATCAATTTAAAGGAATATATTAACCCAACTGAGTATTAGCTGGTCAAGTAATAAAACAGCTTATTGATTACATCTTAAAATCTCTCAATCTGTGGTTTGTTAACAATAACAAGATAGCTAACGTTTATTGATTATGTCCCGAGCGTTCTTCTAACTGTCTTACCAATATTAACTGATTTAATGTGAGCGAGAATAATGATAGAGATATCCATGTGAGAAAAAGTTTAGTTTGCCTAAAGCTTTCTACTGTTTTTAAAGTAAGTCTGAACTAGTGGGAACAGGTAGAGGCAGGGAGAGAGGGGGGTGAGGGAGAACGAGGCTGAGGCTTTCCCTCCTTCACTAGGACTCTCTCCTTCCTTCTTTCCCTTCTGCTGCTTGTCTTTCTTCAGCTTTCTGCTCCGCCTGTGTCCGCCTCTGTCACAAGCTGGCTGGTGGCACCTCTGTCACTGCTCAGCACCCTCCCCCTCCCACCCCTGCTGCTCCTGGCTCTCAAGGCCAGAGTGGTTGCTGACCCCTGGCCTACAGGAAAATGAAGCAGATGGGGAAGCTTTATCACTCTCGAGGAGGGAGTGGCCTGAATCTCTCTCCTCCTCTAGACCCTGCGTTTCCTGGCCTTTATGAGTCAGGGCCTTCTAAGTGACAGGAGAGCTTGCTCTGCCTTTTGTATCAGTTTACACAATGGCCAAGATTCTTGGCACAGCACCAGGCTCAGTGTGGTGAGAGCTTGAGAAGACCCAGGGGAAGCGGGACAAGACACCGAGGGGGAGGGGCACCAGCGCCCCGTCCGCTTGGGCTGAAGGGGAGCAAGTTGGCCACCTCGCCCGAGGTGGGGCGTCTCGCTTCTGAAGGTGAGTTTGTGAAGGGGTGCAGGAGAGGGGTGTTTAATTACAGGCTGCTTGTTTCACTCCTACTTCTCACGTTTAATGAGATTGGCAACAATAAATTTGTCTTTCCAGGTGTTATGGGATGTATTTCCGTGCTCCATTCGCACTTCACTTTGAAGGGGTTCCAACATTTTTTTTTATGGGGAGGGATGGGAGGGTTGGGATTCCTTCCCAGTTTTTAAATCGTGCTGATACTTCTGACTTTAGGGGCATACGAGCTGGATTTTATTACTTTTTGGTTTCCCTCACCACTTGGGCAGGAAGGGAGGGAACGATGGCTGCCGATCTCCAAGGCCTCACTGAGCGCTTTCTGGCTTTGTCCAGCGCCAGAGGGTAGCTCGGCCCCTTCGGCGGTCGGCCTGCGTTCCCCATGGGCCTACTGATGGCAGCCATTTATCTGTGGGCAGGGTCCACGTGCCCTGTGAGACACACCGGCCTCCACTGGCCCTCACTAAGGGCCCAGGATGGAAGGCTTAGAAATAAACAGAATGGGGAACCTGATTCGCTGATTAGCAGGCTTGTACGTACCATTTCCCAAGGCACTGATATCCCGCCAGGCAGATGCTCCACCACAGAGCCTGGGCTTCGACGTTTTTCTTGGTGTCACATGACAGGCAAGGAGGGTGCTTCCGCAGACCCGCTTCTGGGTTGTCTCGCCTTCTGCTTCAAGAGAAAATTGAAAAGCAGCACCCCTCACACACACAGGCGCGCGCGCGCACACACACACACAAACACACACACACACACACACACACACACACACAGCCCCAGGCACACACCCTCTGAAACACACGTGCTGAATACACTCTCTCCACCCGGCATGCCCCATGGCCAACCCACCCGCTCCCCACCCAACACACATTGAGGGAGATTTAACATATTTGGAAATCTCTCATTCACGTTGTCATCTCTTTAAAGAAAAATGAGGACAGGTGGATTGAGAAAGCGCTTCCCTCTGCTCCAAATAGATACTTAAATATGAGCGATCGCTTGGAAAACTGGCACATGAGTGAAAACCTTTTACTGCTCTTGCAGTCTTTTGGCCCCAGAGCCGCCGAGCCGTTTGAATGATCACATGACACACGCCCTCGGTGGGTGGCGAGGAGGGAAAGAGACTCTTAGCATTTCTTCCCCTGCCAGTCCCGCCACTGACA